GCGATTGTGTGGCGTGGCCGGTGTGTGCGTGCGTGTGTGTGTGTGTGTGGTGTGTGTGCAGCTTGTGTGTGCGTGTGTCGCGTTGCGCGTGGTGTGTGCGGTGTGGGGTGTGTGGGTGTGTGCGCTGTGCGTGCGTGCGTGTGTGTGTGCGTGCGTGCGTGCGTGTGCGTGTGTGTGTGTGTGTGTGTGGGTGTGGTGTGGTGTGTGTTCGTGTGTGTGGTGGTGTGTGTAATGTGTGTGTGTGTGTGGTGTGTGCGCTGTGTGCGTGCTTCGGTGCGCGTGGAATGCTTGTGTTCGTGCGTGCGTGTGTGCGTGTGTAGGTGTGTGTATTGTGTGTGGTGTGGTGTGTGTGTGTTCGTGTGTGTGTGTCGTGTGTGTGTGTGTGTGGTGTGTGTTATGTGCGTGTGTAGCCGTGCGTGGTCGTGTCTACTGCGTGTGGTGTGTAATGTGTGTTGCGTGGTGCGCCGCTGCGCGCGCGGTGTGTGTGTTGATGTGTGTATATATGACTGCGTGTTGTGTAATGTGGGTCGTGCGCTGCGTGCGTGCGTGCGTGTGCAGTGTGTGGGTATTGTTGCTGCGTATGTGTGTATGTGTGTGTGCGTGTGCGCCGCCCGCGCGGCTGCGTGTGTGTGTGTGATAATATATATATGCGTGTGTGTATGTGCGTGTGTGCGTGCGTGCGGCTGGCGTGCTGCACGTGTGTGGGTGTGTGCGTGCGTGTGTGCATGCAGGCTCAGGTTCGCAGCAATACCAGACTCATGGAGTCAGTTGAAAACGACACGGCCAAATTAATTTGAATCATTAATTTCACTCCTAGTTATCATGTCACAGGTACCATTGTTAAAACATCCGCCTCCGTTCCTTAATAGAACACTGTAAGAATTTTTTTCACTCTATTCATTAATTACGAGCGTATTATTAGACATAAAATATCAATCAATTTCCACTGCATGCTGACATATCAGTTTTAACATCATACTTATCGTTTTCATTGCAAAATTACAAAGACTGCCCGGACATCGGCAAATGCTGCTACTGCTACTGCTGCTGCTGCTGCTTGCTGCTGCTGCTGTGCTGCTGCTACTGCTGCTACTGCTGCTGATGCTGCTACTGCTGCTACTGCTCCTACTGCTACTGCTGACTCTGCCTTACTACTGCTACTACTGCTACTACTGCTATACTACTGCTAGCTGCTACTGCTGCTGCTGCTGCTGCTGCTGCTGCTGCTGCTGCTGCTGCTACTGCTGCTGCTGCTACTGCTGCTGCTGCTACTGCTGCTCGCTTGGTCTGCCATCACGATGACATAATAGTTATCAGTTATAGTGCCTATACTATAGCCACGAACCATGCTGTTTGCTCTGGCCATGAGCGGGCAAAGTGGTGGAAGTTCCAACGACAAAACAACCGTCTATACCTGATTCCTTCAGCATACATTCACGCTCATAGCAACGTCGACACTGATAAACTTCTGTGCAGGCGTCACGAGTGCATTTCAGCGGGCGTTCCAGCGCAGATCCTTACACGGCAAAGCCATCCGATTCCTCGCGTTAGCATGTCAAGTGGATGCTTGTCGCTATATTAATGTAGCAGACGCCGTGTTCGTGTTTTATCACGCTGGAATAAGCAACCGACTATGCTGCGACAGCAATTATTGTCGCCTAGTAACCTGTCATCTGCTGCGATGCAAGTAGCGGTATTTTATTTCAAGTGCGGTTTAGTCATTCCGTCTGTACTATTATATACATGATATGCGGTTTTATGTGTGAGAGTTACACGCTTACCGGACATCAAAACTGGTGAATTGAATTGCCATTGCTTGCGACAGTGTCTCGCTGTGCCTTCACTTCTAATTGTCTTTAACGAAGTTTACTTGTTTGTTTATAACATACGCACACGTTGCACGTTGCAGAGAAGTGCGCCAATGAAATGTAGAAAACGTTGACTTCATCGTTTTAGCGATGAGGCGACTAAGCCCGGCGCACACGTGAGTTATTTTACTCAAGTAAAATGACGCACGAGTCAAATTACTCAACGAAAATCCGCCGCACACGTGAGTAAAATGACGCATGCGTCAAATTACTCAACCAAAATCCGCCGCACACGTGAGTAAAATGACTCATGCGTCATTTTACCTGAGTAAAATAACTCACGTGTGCGCCGGTCTTAAGATATATGATATAATCACAAATAAATGGTTTCTACAGCCCAATATAGGACTTTTGCGCAGTATGCGTTCGTACGTTTATATTGCTGTGGTTGTAACAAGATACGGTGTGGTGTGATTGCGTGAATTGTCGCGATGCTACCACTAACGCTAACGAGCCGATTAGCGGGAAAACACGACAGACTGCTAGAAATTGCTGCGAATTAGTGGGGAGCATAGATCACCTAGAAAGAACGCCAGTTCCTTAGAATGCGCGCTACTGCAAGGCACCCTGAAATCAAACACTAGCAGTTAAACTAAATACAAACATTGCAAACAAATTGGTCGGGAAATTGATAAAAAATACTAGTGCAGGAAATCGATGAAATCAAAGACATTCTGTTTTTATATTGCACAATAAAGCGTCATTGGTAACGTAGACCGAGCCACAAGATCAGCGTAAGACTAGTAACTCTGTACTAAAGCAGATATCAGGATGGAGACGGAAAGCTAGGGACTGGACTGGTCTAGCCTGACAATAAAATGAACGAACATGACAATAAGCAGTAGCTGTCGCCGAGCATGTTCACGTAATGTGTCCATATCTCACTGTCTGCTCCGTATTACAAACCTATCGCCACACGCACGCACGCACGCGCACGCACACGCAC